TGAACCTGGGAGGCAGAGATTGTAGTGAACCAAGATTGTGCCACTGCACTCCAGCCTGGGTGACAGAGTAACACTCTATCTCAAAAAAAAAAAAAAAAAAAAAAACTTTGTTTATTGGAAACTTACTCTAAGTTAGTCATTATGTGAGGCTTTGGGGATACAGCAGTGAATAAAGACACTTTATAAATAGCATTTACAAATCATTGACATTGACTATGGGACTTTGGGGAAGCTCTATGTTCCCGCGGCTGGGATTTGAACCCTTGTAGCCAGGGGTTCAAATAATCTTCACCCTCGTTTGTCTCCTGAGCGCTTCTGCTCTTCCTGCTAAGTGCTTTTGTATGATTTACTCTGTTCTTAAATGTCCTGAAAAAATGTTTTTATACAATTCAGCAATCCATGGTCCAGGATCAGAATGGCCCAGTGATAGGTCCGTGTGTATTTAAACACATTTTTTTGTGGGGTGCTGTGGATGTGTGGATGTAGCCAGAGAAAATCCTGTGTGGGTGGTCGTGGGGCAGAAAGTCTGGTGCCAGAGAGTGGGGTTCCGGGGGTCTGTCTTCATAGTCTGAGGCAGCACTAAAGTCCTGTGAGCCTATCTGAGCCTCGGTAACCTCCCCTATGGTGGCTATTAGATAATTCAGCTGGGTAGCATCTTATACCTGGATGAGGTTCTAAAGTCCAGCCACACAAGGCCAAAGTCTGGTAGCGTGAGAATTCCCTTTGAAGAACCTTTGAACCACTCATGAGGGTGAACAGTGTGCCTCGTGGGAGATCGCCACGCAACCTGGCAGTCCGTCCAACGCAGCCCATTTTTCTGCCACCATTTGGCCACATGACTCCATCCTCGGTCAGACCAGATCAAGCATCTTCTTGTATTTAGGGCCCATGTTGCAAAAAACATTTACACATTGTCACACAGCATGGTTAGTGTACACGTAGCAAGCTGACTGAAGGACGGAGTCATGGCCCTGTGAAGGCGTCAAGGTCTGGCAGTTGGTTTTGTTTGCTTCTCTGAGTACGTAGTTAAATTTGTGAACATTAGAGGATCCGTAGTGCCACTGCCCAGCCCTTCCGGAGTACTTGGTAGGAATTAAATGAGGTGCAGTGGGTTATCCCTGTAATCCCAGCATTTTGGTAGGCTGAGGAGGGAGGATTCCTCGAGGCCAGAAGTTTGGGCAACATGGCATATACCCTGTCTCCACAAAAAATTTTTAAAAATTATGGCTGGGCACAGTGGCTCACGCCTGTAATCCCAGCACTTTGGGAGGCCAAGGCAGGTGGGTTACTTGAGGTCAGAAGTTGGAGACCAACCTGGCCAACATGGCAAAACCTCATCTCTACTAAAAATACAAAAATTAGTGCGGTGTGGTGGCACACACCTGCATTCACAGCTACTCAGGAGGCTGGGGCAGGGAAATCGCTTGAACCCAGGAGGCAGAAGTTGCTTGAGCCAATATTGCGCCATTGCACTCCAGCCTGGGCGACAGAGTAAGACTTTGTCTCAAAAGAAAAAAAAAAATTTAGCCAGGGAGGGTGCCATGTGCCTGTGTTCTCAGCTACTCAGGAGGCTGAGGCATGAGGATCACTTGAGCCAGGTGGTCAAGGATGTAGTGAGCTATGATTGTACCACTGCACTCCAGCCTGGGTGACAGCAAGATTCTGTCTCAAAAAAGAAAAAAAAAAGTTTGCCTGTGAGTCACTGACACTCTGGACAAGCCCTAGCTGTCATAACTGTGATCATGGGTGATACATACGTGGAAGTCACAGGGAGGTGTGTGATTTGCTTTGTTAAAAAAAATCTGTAGAGGGCAGAGGGGAACATTGTATGTTTTGTGGGCCCCAGGGGACCCTAGTGACTTGGTTTCTACTGAGCGTGTGGGTGGTGGTGGAGTCATGGGCGGGCGTTGACTTTGTGGAGTGCAATCCTTGCTGGACTATGTCTGCTGTTCGGCCCCCGTCAGAGGCCTCCCCTTCCCCCTGGGCTAATATGGATGCTTTGTTTGGCCACAGAATGTCCTGAAGGAGCACGCGGACGATGACCCTAGTCTGGCCATCACTGGGGTCCCTGTGGTGACTTGGCCAAAGAAGACTCCAAAGGTAAGACGCAGCCTGCCTGCAGTGGGCGGCCGCTTCCCACTTCCTTCCCACCTCCTGTAGGGTGAACGTCCGCGGCTTTTTCGGTGGCTCTGGGGCCTCCGGAGATGAAGGCACCCCAGTGACGATGAAGGATTTTGGTGATTTGTTCTGTGTTTTTGTTTTTGGAACGGGGCTGCTTTACCTAGCTGTGGGAACTGCGAACAGTGCCGCCTGGTGGTCACTTGGAAAACTGGGGGGCGCTCACACCTCGCCTTTCCCTGTGGTTAGGTGGATTTTCTGACTCTCCTTCCCTCACTCCCTTGCTTCTTCCCTTCCTTTTTCCTTTTCCTTTAGCTGCTTCATGGGCTGTCTTCTCCTCTTTTGAAAGGAACTTTTTCTCAGTGTGTAAAACTGATTGATGCTCAACATACAAATGTGTAATCGGTCGAGGGCGGTGGCTCACGCCCGTAATCTCAGCACTTTGGGAGGTGCAGGCGGGTGGATCAC